TAAGCATCCATATCTTTTTTTTTTTTTTTTCTCTTTTGAAACAGTTTCACTCTGTCACCTAGGCTGGAGTGCAATGGTGTGATCTCATCTCACTGCAACCTCTGCCTCCCGGGTTCAAGCAATTGAACCTCAACCCGGTTGAGGTTCACTGCAACCTCAGCCTCCTGAGTAATTGGCATTACAGACGCCTGCCACCACACCTGGCTAACTTTTTTTAGTAGAGACAGGGTTTCACCCAGTTAGTCAGGCTGGTCTTGAACTCCTGACCTCAGGTGATCCACCCGCCTCAGCCTCCCAAAGTGCTGGGATTACAGGTGTGAGCCACTGCACCCTGCCTAAATATCTATATTCTTATTTATTTTTACTCATGTGCTCCATCAAAGACAAGGCCAAGCAACAGTGTGGTTGAAATAAAAGATATTCTACAAGGACCTCCAATCACTTCCTTAGAGCCAGCCGTGGAGGGAGGAAATAGCAGCCAGTTCTTTCTGCCGCAGTCTCCCTTTCTATAATAAATATAGGATGAATCACTCGGGTCATTTCCTAAGTAAACATTCTCTTTAGGTCCCCGGAGCAAACTGTAAAGGAACCACTTTTAAATGAAGATGTTCCAAAGATATTCTTAGAAAACTTCAATTTCAAATGCAGAGTATTTGGGTCATGGAATCTTGACAGAAAGATAAATTACAATGAAACCCACCGTCACTGTTGAAAAACTGTTAAGGGTTTTTCTGATAAACTCAAAGAAACTTACAAGTTCCTAATTTTAAGGCAGTGGAGTCCTTTCTTTCCTTCATGTTAGGCGTATAAGAAATGAAATACTGAAATATATCTTCTACTGGAGTGGTATTCCTAGAAGCACATAAAGAGTGCATAACGTGGGTTTGGGATAATCAATCTTATCCTGATATAAATACTTGCTGCATGGTAAGAATTCATTTATTCCTGACAATAATCCTGACAGCTGAGTCTTATTGTCTCCATTTTTCAGATGGAGAAACTGAGACTCATAAATGTTAGATCACTTGCCCAAGGTAACACAACTGGTAAAAGTTGGAATGAGGTTTTGCACCTAAAACAGCATACCTAGTGCTCCTAAGTGGCTGGCTAGTGAGAGCATTTGGTTGCAAAATTAAATGTTGGAGTTGCAGAATAACACACAGGCAATAATTATTATTGGTGTCATGCCTTACTATATAGTTTATTGTAATTATTTCCTTGATGATAATAATAGTTTCAAGTTAAGGATTTATAGGTGATTATAGCAAAAAGCATACAATGATATAGAGGTGGTGCCAGAAGAACTTATGACTTTCCAAGGATCCGTGAGACACACCCTCAGCCTTGCAGACTGAGGAATCTGACGTGTTGGCGCATGGAGGAGAACTTCACTTCTCAGAGTAGGACTTACATTTACCAACCTCAAAAAGTCACATAAGCCCAAAAATAATAATTTATGAGCTCACATTGAAAATAACATAGTCATTATGTTGAGGGACAAACTTTACTGGCGTATCTATCCTACTTGGTCTCCCTGAGGGCAACTGCATTAAATCTCTCCCGTACTTGGAAGGGCACCAAATGACTATGGAGGTTAGAGATGTGTTTGGTAGCATCCAACTCACATAACCTGAAAGAGCCACATGCACAATAAGATTGATCTTGACAGTGGTACCCACCATATTGGATAGTTGTTGGATAAGATTTCCTCTCTTCATCCAGTGCTTCAAATGGCCAGTGCTCACTTTTGCATTAGTGATCTCACTTTGTCTATGTTTTCATAGTATAGAAATATGTCCCCTTCTCAGAGGCACATTTCTTACTTTCAGGTAAGTCTTGCCGTAACCAGGGAGTGCCTGTTTTCAAAAAGAGTTTTAATCTCTCCAATTTTATCTAGAGTGTGCTTAACTTTCTGAAATTTCAACTTTCAAAAAGCAAGTATGCCCTTATTTCCAAGTTCTCAAAGATTGAGTCTTTGGATGGGGTTCGTATCACAGCTCCAAGGCATGCCACCTACAAGACTGATAAGGGTGACAATCACATAATGAACTGATTAAATATATTCAGACCTAAGAGTATCTAAATTTGGGCATGGTGAATCACAAGCTGCTGGTTTCAAGACACCGAGTTTTCTTTGGTCATGACAATGTATTATGGTTTGAATGTGTCTTCCAAAGTTCAAATGTTGGAAACTTGATCCCCAATGCAGTAGCGTTGGGAGGCAGGGCCTAATAGGAAGTGTTTGGGTCATGGGGTCACTGCCTTCATGAATGGGTTAATGTCTTTATCTTGGAAGTGGATTCATTCTCTCTTGTGCCCTCTCTTTGCCCTTCTGCCTTTCATCATGGGATGATGCAGCAAGGTCTTCACAAGATGCTAACACCTCAATATTTGGACTTTCCAGCCTCCAGGATTGTAAGCCAATAAATTTCTGTTTATTATAAATTATCCAGTCTGTGATATTCTGTTATAGCAACACAAAATGAACTAAGACACAATGGTTGTTCTTTTTGCGGTAAAATCAACAGGTATTTGTTATAGTTTACTGGGAAAGATGGTAATCAAACAAGTAATACTAAAAATGTGTGATTAGTGCTACAATAGAGAAAGTACAGTGAACCATAAGAGCATGCTGGGACTTTACTGGTTTCATTAGGCGTAGGACCTACAAAGCTCAAAGCTCTCATGCTAAAAATGTTCTCACTTTCCAAAAAGGCAATTTTATATTGGAAGTATGGTAAGGCAGCCTTCTTTCCGCTCTTTCTCATATAATTTCCCAATACCTGAAGCACTTTAGTTTCACTAGAACTTACGGATGATGAGGGAGGGTATTTTGTGGAGATTGGGCAGAGTTAGATTTTGTGGACTAAAGGTTTTTTTGTGGGTTTTTTTTTTAACTTTTTAGCACAAATGTTTCCAATTGTGTGGGCCCTTCATGTTGGAGTGTTGACTATTTGAGCAATATTAGCAGTATTAGTAGAAGATTGGGTGAGGGATAGAGAGGCTGGTGAGGAAGAGGGGATGGGGTTAGGTGGAGGCATGATGGTGGCCATAGGAGAAACAGGCTGCTGACTTATGCAACATATCATTCCAAAGAGGGTATAGGTTCATATCTCATCTCTAGAGAAATGTCCTAAAAAGAATAATCCATCCAGGTAAGTCCCCATCCTTCCCACATCTGTCCCGATGTTTAGGACCCCGGAAGAAAATTATTTACAGAATAATAAGGGTTAAAGCATCATCAAAATGGAAACAAATATATAGGCTTCTTCACAACTAAAGGAACCAGATTTTTTTTTAAATCACAAGCATCTTGTGATTTGGGCCAAATTCCTGTCATTCATGATGGATCTCAAAAGAGCCTTCGTAGTACAGAGAGATCCCAAACATGAAACTGCTCACCCCTAATGCTGCCAAAGTTGCTTTTCTCCCTTTCAATCACAGGCAGCTGGGGGGTGGGGGGAGAGTCGAAACATTAAATACTAAGAAATTAGTTTACATCTTTTGCAGATGTGATATTAAAAACATAAAATTCAATGCAATGAAGCAGTGCAGGGCAAATCATATTGATCTAGTGCTGGGAATAAATCTGTGAGCTTTCAGGACCAAGAAACATCTACTGCACTCACAAGAGAATCAGCCATCTGAGAAGTATCACATACTCTGCAGAAAAAGAGTGGAACAAGGAGGTTAGGCCGGGCATGATGGCATGCACCTATAGTCCTAGCCACTTGGGAGGCTGAGGCAGGAGGGTCACTTGAGCCCAGGAGTTTGAGGCTGCAATGAGTTACGATTGGTCCACTGCATTCCAGCCTAGACAACATAATGAGACTTTGCCTCTAAAGTAAAATAAAAAGAATGGGACAATGAGGGTCTATGGACTCAGCCAAGAGGGCAGTAGCAGGACTCAGATGAGGTTCCAGATACAGCAAGCTGTCGGATGGGGATGGGGCAGCACCAGGCAATGAAGAATCACCAACAGTGTAGCAAGACTGAGCAGGTTGTACTCAGCTCTGTGTCTACTGAAGGAAGAAATACTTAAAGAGCCCTTGGTTTGAAGTGTGAGACCCTCAACACACCAGCTGAAATAACAGAAGATTGATGCTAACGTGACTTCTAGAAAGGGTAGTTGCTGTTACCTGCAGGGCTTTGGTTTTGCTGAGGAGCCTGCAAGCTGGACCACGGCTGAACTTTCTTGAACCCTTGAAGAAAGCCCCCATACCCCTAGTCCAATGAGACTCATTAAGGACCTCTGATCTCCATAGTTCTAAGATAATACACTTGGATTGTTTAAGCCACTAAGTTTGTAGTCATTTGTTACAGCACCAATAGGAAACATGCAGCATTGCACTGCCACTTGGAAAGGTGGAGAGATAACAGGAGAAATTTAACTGAACCCCATTGGTATGCCTAAAGAATACTGAGTTCCCAAAACTCAGAAAAAGCCAACTAAGGAGAATGGGAAAAATCTACTAGCATGGTGCTAATGTGTAACCAGTATAGGAAAGTTATTATCTCCTTTGCCAAGCTAGCCTCTGAGGATGAGAAAAGTGGGGAAAGATTCCTCAGTTTGGCCACTAGGATTATATCCAAGGGCACACTGTCCCTGCCACCTTGGGGCCTACATTGAGGATGCTACTGCAGTGCATGTTCTAATTAGAAGGCAAGGAATTCCAGAATGTGTGTATACACACATACATGCACACATGCATACATGCACACACACACACACACACACACACTCAGATGGAATTTATACTGCACTCCGGTAAAGATTTAAGCAGTTATTTCTTCTTTGAGTCAGTTGATTGATTTCAAAGCCAGTCTCTCCCTGTTTTTTACACAAGAAGCAGCCTCAGTGCTTAGGCCTCTCTTTTCTTGCATCTCTCTTTAACCCTTTCCTCCTCCACTGTCCCCACTACCACCACCATCCAGAGACTACCACACTCAGAAATATTCCATCACCTTGAGGAAATGATACCTTTCTTATATCTTGTAAATTTCGTAGCCTTCAGAGAAGAATGTTAAAAATCTGTTTTCCTCCTTCCAGTTTTTATTTTTCTCAGCAGGGAAGGGTACATTTTGGTCGCAGTGACCTCTGGCTTTGTGTGACCTGGGAAACAAAACAGAATCAAAGATAAGCTCTGGTCTGATGATAAGGAGATAATGAGATATGAGCATTTCCACCTTAGCCTGCAATTTATTTCTGAAATACATTCTATATTTATGTCTCAACACAGATCAATCATTACCAGCAATGAGTAACTGATAAAGCATGAGAGAAAGAGGTATGTAAGCAAGAGAAGATTCTGGGAAACAAGAATATAACATGCTTGGGGTAATATAGGCAGGTGAAGGAACCCAAGAAAAGGTTTATGGGGTATCATGAAGTATAGGTGAAAATGACATTCAGTAAGGGTTCTAACTGGTGTTGGGGTGAAGACAGACTTGGTATTGGGAGAGCTGAAACAGAAGGGAAGACACATTAAGAGCAAGAGAAGAGCAGGCTAGCAACGAGGGAGGCCGTGACTGAGTGGCAGTCTGCAGCCATATAGGGCAACAACAAGAGACCCATGGCAGGACAGCAAGGTCAGGCAGCCTGTTTGGCAGCAACCTGCTGGCACCGTGTGCTCACAGCTCCTCCACCATTGCAATGCCTTTTTTGGTGGTGGTTCTTCCCCAGAGCCAACCTTAAAGCCAGAATCATCCTCCTAAAGTATCATTTTGATCCTGTTGCCACCCTGTTAAAAACCCTCAAAGGGCTTCCCCAGGGATACAGAAGCAAGTTCAGCCTCTGCAGTGGAGGTTTCTTCAGAGGCCTCAGACCAAACTCAGCTCTTCTGAAACTGCATAGCCCTGCCCTGAATTTCTCAAGTGGCGTCTATCACTTCCTGTTTGACTAGTGTTAATTTTAAAAATTGATTTCAGTGAATGGACTTTTTGAAGGCAGAATGCTAGGCTTGATTGCCTTGCAGATGGTAGTCAAGGGAAACTATCTCTGTGATCATTTCAGAATGCCATGGAGTATTGACATCATCAGAAAAATCACTGTTACCAGCACACTCTCTTACATATCCAGGTCACGGTACTAGATGACCATGAGTTTTGTCTACAGGAGGTTAGATCAGTCAACAAAGCCCACTAAGATAGAGATTAAATCCAAGATCTGAACTAGAGATTTGATTATATTCTATTCCTTGGCAAGAAACTCCAGCTTCAGCCCCAGTCACAAGGTGTGGGTGTGATGTTGCAGATCCATTGCCACCTCCACAAAAGCAACTTAAAGAACACTCGCTGACAGGCTGCTCCACAAGGCCCCCTTGTGCATCCACCCCTCCAATCTCTAGTGCTCTTAGAGCAGCTCAGCTCAGGTGGGGATTGGGGGAAAAGGATAGGAATTATTTGCATGTTATGATTTTTAAGTCTCAAATTACAAGTAATCTTAAAAGTAAAGATCATTGAGTAAATCTGTGTCTTAGATTAACTATAGGACTTGTGAGCACCCAGAAGGAGGAACTGCAAACTGTTTCTGAGCTGCACTAGCTCAAGCTGGAAGCAAAATTCAGTCTCCTCACCATTGTTTACGAGAAATCCACTCCCATAAATCATGTGTTGAGTTTAGTAGACTCAACCTGATGCTATCAACAAAGAGTCTCAGAAGGAGTCCTGGCACTTGGTTTTTCACTATCTCCCTGCCCTTCTTTCCTGATCCCTTTTGATTCCTCCCACCTTGCTCCCAGGAGCTCCAAATTCCTCTCACTCTTTTAAACAGTGTGTTTCTCTCCAGCTCCTTCCTTCCCTTTGCACAACCAAACACACTAAAGTGCTCAACAGGACTAGAAATCTCCCTTTTAACAAGACTTACTATCTGCACAAGAACTTAGATTACAGTTAAAATTATACAAATACCATGTTTAATTACCAAGGAAAGCCTCCACTTAAAACAGTGACCTAGAGGAGCTCCAAGGGTTTCTCCCCTCCAGACCCTTTCCCTGGTTCCTGCCCAAGAGGACACATCTCCACGCCAAGCATCTCACTATACTTCTTCATACACTATCAATCTGTGCGACATGGCAAGGCAACTGGGATTGTCTTTCTCTGTATTCATGTCATGTTTCTGACACCTACTTCTGAAAGTTTCACTATTTCAACTGAGCTGACTCTCTGCTCATGTGAATACAATGTGTACTTATTTATTTATGCCTTTCCTTCATGCTGAACACAAAATGATTTTTATTGGGCTTATGGTTTGAGATTTGGATAATTAAAGCAAACATATTTCTTTTGGAAAGTCACTTTTCCAACATACCACATACAAGAAACAATGAGGGATTCTTAGTGATGGTTCACTCTTGGAAAAATAGAAATCATAGCCCACACCAAACAGCAGAAACAGAATGACCCAAAATGCCATGACTTTACTGCAGTAGTTTTCTAATAATACTTCTGCTTTCTCTTAAATATTCGCCTTCTTCGGTTCTCTAGAGCTTCCCAGCACTGAATGCATTTGGCCTTCCCATCACATGAATAGAGTTGTTATTTGTTTCCCGCTTACACAACCATTCTTTGAAGGAGCCTAATCTGTTTCCTAAGTGCACAAGAACAGTAACAACATTACTTGCTCTTGTATAAGTTTAGATATATTACAAATGTAATTATGTGCTCTAAAATATAATAGCTATAGTCTTTACAAGTTTATTTTATATTTATTTTATTTATATTACCACTGCATCACAAGAAAGGACATAAATAGTAAACCTTAAATAATAGAGCTGTTAAGCTAGAAAGCAACTATTAGCGTTTGATAAGATTGTGAGATGAGCATAGTTTTTTGTTTTTTTTTTTTAATACAAGCAACCTAATTTAGTTCCTTACTGGCTGGTGGCCTTGGACAAATTATTTAACTTTTCTGATCCTCAGAGATAATCATATCCAACCGAAAAGATGTTGAGCGAATTAAAGGAAATATTTATGTGAAAGGGTATATTGCAGTGGCACAGAGAAGGGTCACTTTTCTTGTTTTACTATTTTTGTCCCCCAAGAGTGGTACTATCCTAGTAAGAGGCAGTTGCACTGTAGTAATTTTTTGAATATAAAAATTCTTACTGCACAAATAAGTAGTTTTTTAATAGTGACTTAGTCTCATGTGGTAAATATTTTCAGAGTATCTTTTGTTCAGTATGTGAATAGTTGATAGTTAATAAACCAGCATAGTACATGCTGGTCACTCCAATTCCCCCACTTAACTTGCCTGAGCACAGTGCAAAGCAGGGTAAACCAATGATTGAGCCATGCTTCTGCTGACTGACTGCCATGTCCTTCAAGAGCTATGGGCAAAATTCTTTATGCTTATATGGTCCCTATGTCTGAAACACTCAAAGCATTTTTCCAGAGGTTAAACTGGGGCTTTCATATGACCTGGTTAATAAATGCCAAGTCTTCAGTGTGAAGCCTCAGAATGTCCTTTTGAGGAAGGTGGCTGACAACCTTATCTTCCATACAAACAAACTGAGGCATGGAGAAGATAAATCAGAGGACTTGTTATGGATTCTTCATTCCTTATGCGTACACTTGTAGTTTATCTATGAAGACCAGTGTTTCACGGGGGTGCACAGAAAGCCAGCAGGAATCCCCAGAGATCATGGCTGTGGTTTCTTGGAGAAGGCAGCCCACCATTCTAATGTGGTTGAGAGGATTACGGTACTGGGGTCGAGGGGTGCTGAGGCAGGGTCTGTCTGAACTGGGTAAACAGTCTGAGTCAGTGAGGTTAGGAAAAGCAGGTAAGCTGGAACTCCAAAGGCGTGCAGTGTGATACCTCTCATAGGAAACAAAAAGTTCCCGTTTTGGACCAAGTTTCCATGGCTACAGTAAACCTCTTCTCAGGAGGAAAGAACAGCTCCAGCAGGGCCTAAGAAGAAGGGCCTTTGTGCATGGAGAAGACTGGAGTGCTCTGATCAGCAGCTGTGAGAGGACAGAGCTCCAACCTGCCAGCTTGAAACACTGGCAGTAACCGTGACAGGAAGAAGCAGAAAGACTTCCAACTCATGGCAACCACCTCCACCACAAACACAGTGGGTCTTGGGGACCATCACCCTCCTTTACACCTTGACAACACAGCGAAGCTCAAAACACTTTTCCCAGAATTCCCATCCCCGAATGATTCCATGTCAGTGAAGGTCACAAGATAAATACTGCATGAGATTTAAAAAGCAGAAATGAAGCCACAGCCATGTTTTTGATGCTCTGAAGGTCAATAGGAGGCACGAGGCACTTTGGCAGTTCACTCACATTGTCACTGGCTGTTCTTCCAATTCCTGCTTTATCTTCTCCTTCAGCTTCTTCACACACGTACACAGCATCTTACCAAGGGGTGCAGCTGCTCCCGCATGTTAGTCATGGCATCGAGTTTGCTGGTGGGAAGAGACAGACTTGAGTTCCAATTCCTCCTCATGGGGTCCAGCTTGTCTTTGCTTTTGCTCACATCCACCTTTCTTATCTAGCTGCCGGCCTGGGTACCCTCATGCTACTTTAGGCCCAACACTAGATGAAGAGATACACAGTCTGGCATAGGCTCCTCCCCCAGGTCTCTACAAAATCACATCCTTATAATAAATTTTGTTTTCTTTATTACTTAGAGTAGTCTTACTTTTCTGATGGAACTCCAAGTGATACACATGTACTGTCTTATTTAATCCTCACAACAGTCCTAGAAGGCAGGCACTATCATTATCCTCGTTTTACAGGTGAAGAACTTGAGAAACAAGAAGATTATTCTATATCAATTAGCTGGTATGTGGTGATGCTGGGATTTACACCCAGGCAGTCAGATTCCAGAGCCTGAGTTTTGGCTTTTTGCTGATTTCTTCCTTAATTCCATGAAGTCTAGCTTCTGTTCTCACCAGTTTTGTTAAGAAAAGAATGCTCTTAATACTTTAAAAAATTATTCTCAGAAAACTTTCTTCCATTCTTCTTCTAGACCTCCCTAAAGCCCCTGATATGTTTCCTTATTCCTTTCCTTTAGCTGTGCTGAAGTTTCTTTTCTGTTTTATTTCCCAGCTTTTCTGCTTTCCATTGTCTGCCATGCACACATGCACACATACATGCATACATGTACACACATACATACACACATGCACACACGGGTTTGACCATGCCATTCTAGCTCCAAATTGCATGCTCATTCTTTAGACCACACTGTCTGCCCGACAGTGATTCATCATCAGTCTCCTTTGCTAACCCAGATCTCTGCCATCTCCCACTGGGGGCTGCCAGGGCTCTATGCCTGCTACCCTTTAATAGTACAATAAAAGTGATCAAACTGATCAAGTGTAAAGCACACAGAAGAACACAGGCCAGATGGGAAAGAAATAGGACAAGGGAGGGAAGCTGAGGAAACAAGCCAAAGTACGGTTAACTGAGGAGCAAGGCAGAACCCAGTGAAAGCTTATAAGGCAGAAATAAACTCCCACAGGGGGAAAAATGCTTTTGTGACTTTTATACAGAGAGAAGAGAAAGGGCCTGGTCATAAAATAGAGAGATAAGAGAGGAAAAAAATATGGATTTTCTAGAGAAGAGGAACCAGAGGACCAGAGCTGAATTATTCGTGGAGTCAACTGAGCAGAAAAAAACTGTTCCAATGCAAAGCTAATCAGCAGACATAGGACCAAGAGAGAAGTCCTTATACTTCCTGAAACCAGGATCTGAGGCTGAGGGCAGCCAGAAGCCCAAGAGATAGACCTAGTGTCAGGATCTGCAAACTCAAGAGAATTGGCCAGCCAAGAAGGAATTGTTATGTTTTTTGAAATGTTTCTAAATTAAGAAGCAAGAATTGTGTGTATGAATGACCTTACACTCCTGACTTCTCCCCTCGCAGAGCACAGTCCAGGATGACTGACCCAAGGATCTGCCTTTTATTAGAGAATCTCCTGAGAATGAGAAATTACAATTTTCCAAGAATGAGACAGTGTGTTGTCCCTGTTTTTCCACATACATACTAACATGAGAATCATGAACACCAAGAAGTAAAATAAAACTCAAACCAGATCCAGAAATAAAATTTGGCATTTTGAACTCAGTAAATTTGGTAAACCTTTGCAGAGGAAAACTTAGCTGACAAACACATGAAGGCATCCAAAAAAAGAGACAAGAGTTTTAAAAATGAGACTTGAAGGCCTTTTACCCAGTGGTCTTGGGCCCAGGAATTAATTATATTTCTGAATCTCATAATTAGAAAAATGCTAAACTGAGAAACAGCTTTTTACCTAAAGTTTAACTAAGTGCTACTTATAATAGCATAAAATTAGAAACAGTCTATATATGGGGCAAAAGGGAATGGTTCTATAGTAACATAAATAATCTGTGCAATACATCTCTACTATGGATATAATAGAAGCATTTCTTTAAAATGAAGCATGTGTGTCTGTGTGTGTAGAGACAGAGAGGCAGTGACAGAGAACAATAGAAATATTGATAAGTGAAAAGAGAAAGTTGTTCAATGTTATGTAGAGCATGCACTCATTTTGGTGAGTCTCCCTGTGAGGGTTCTTTATCTGTGATTACATGTGTAGATGCCTAGGAAAAGTCTGAAAAGAAATACTGCAAACCCTAGCAGTGGCGACCTCTGGGAGTAGGGAGAATGGAACAGGAAAGCCAGGGCATTTGTTTTCTTCTTTTTTATTCTTTCAAATTGCTTGAATTTTTTTTGGATTTCAAGCAGAAACCTGTCCATTAAAATCTGTTCTCCCTGTTCATGGTTGTATCTCAGAAGCTGCTTTTTTGACAGGGACTACATTCCCCAGTTTTCCTTGGAGCTAGATGTGGCCATATTTGCGACAGAATGTGAGCGGAAATATGAACCACTTTCAGGTCAAGGTTTTGCACACACAGAGGGCCAATTCACTCTTGTACTTTCTCCTTCTACCAGTGGGACTGTGGATATGACATTGGAGCCTCAATCATTAAGATGCTAGTGGATGTTGGAATCACACCTTTATCTCTGAATTACCACAGGGGGAAGAACCCACTGCTTCCCTTGAACGCTTACCTGGGATAGTTACATTAACAAGAAATTAACCTTGATGTCTTTAAGACATTACATTTAGGTCTGTATCCTTTCACTTTAGGTTAACCTAGTGAAAATTACATTATTGCTTTTTCTTAAGGGATTTTTAAAACTATATTTATTTTGAGAAAATTATAGATTTACAAGCAGCTATAAGGAATCGTAGAAAGAAATCACACATACTCTTTACCCAGTTTCCCCCAGTGGTAACGTCTTGCAAAACCGCAGCACAATATCACAACAGAATGTTGATATGGAGTCAAAATAAAAAGCATTTCCATCACAACAAGCATCTCTCTTATTCCCCTTTGTAGCCACACCCAATTCCCTTCAGCCCAAATCCCCACCTTAACTCCTAGCAATCACTAATCCATTTCTAGAATTTGTCATCTAGGAAATGTTGTATAAAAGAAGTAATATAGTATGTAGCCTTTTAGGGTTGGTGTTCTTTCACTCAGCATAATCCTTTGGAGATTCATACAGGTTGTGGCATGGATCAACAGTTGGTTCCTTTTTATTACTGAGTGATATTTTATGGTCTGGATGTACCACAGTTTGTTTCACCATTCATCCATTGAAAGACATTTGGTTTGTTTCCAGTTTTTTATTATTGCGAATAACACCTCTATAAACATTCATGTAAAAGCTTTCATGCAACCATAAGGTTTTATTTCTCTTGGATAGATGCCTAAGAGCATGATTACTGAATCATATGGTAGTTGTATTTTTTAGTTTTTTAAGCAACTGATAAATTGTTTTTCACACTGATGGTACCATGTTACATTCCCACTAGTAATGAATAAGTGATGGGATTTCTCTGCATTTTTGTCAGTGTTTGGTGTGAGCATTGCTTTCCATTTTACCCATTTTTTTATAGATGTCTAGTGATTTTCTTTTATATCTGCCTTTTTTGATATATTATATTTGTACATATTTTGGGAGTACATGTGAAATTTCATTGCATGCATAGAATGTAAAATGTTATATACTCAATGTGACATTTCATTGTGGCTTTTATTGGCGTTTCCCCAATAGCTAATGATACTGAATATGTTTCATATGTTTGCCATCTGTGTATACTCTGATGAAATGTCTCTTCATGTCTTTTGCACATGTTCTCACTGGATTGTTTGTTTTTTCATTGTTTGTTTGGTTTTGAGAGTTCTTTAAATATTTTAGATACTAGTCCTTTGTTGGATTTGTGATTTGCAAATATTCTGTGATTTGCTTGTCTTTTTATCCGCTTAACAGGGTCTTTCTCAGAGCAGAAGATTTTAAATTGTAGTAATGTCCAATTTGTCAACTTTTCCTTTTCCGGATCATATCAAATCAAGAATTCTTTGCCCAGCCTCAGATCTCAAAGATTTTCTCTTGTGTTTTTCTGAACGTCTTATAGTTTAACATTTTACATTTAAGTTCATGCTCCTTTTTCAGTCAATTTTCGTATAAGATGTGAGATTTACATTTTAAGGTTTTTTTTTTAACTTATGGATGTCTAAATGCTCCAGCACCATTTGTTGAAAAGGCTCTCTTTCTTCCATTAAATTTTGTGCCTTTTATACCTTTGTGAAAAAAACACTTGGGCATAATTTTAGATTATTTTTGTGGGTTCTTTATTTTGTTAATTGATCTATGTGTCTACGCTTCTACCAATACTGCAGTGCCTTGATTACTACAACTATATAATAAGTCTTACAATTGAGCAGACCAAGCTCTCTCATTTTATTCTGCTTTTTCAAAATCATTTTGGATACTTTAGCTTTATCTCATATAAATTTTAGAATAATCTTGTCTATATATATTTGTAAAAATCTTTCTGGTGTTCTGATAAGAGTAGCATTCAGCCTTTATATCAATTTGGGGAGGATTGACACCTTTACCATGTTGAGTTTTCCAAACCATAAACACAGTCTGGCTTTTCATTTATTAGATCTTATTTGATTTCTTTAATCAATGTTGTATCTGATCCAAAAAATTTACATGTTTTGTGAGATTTCCACTAAATATTTTATTTGAAGAGGTTTTAAATAGTATTATATTTTTTAATTTTGGTGTCTTTGTGTTTATTGCTAGTATGTAGAAATACAAATGGTTTTTATATGTTTATCTCAAATCCTGTGACCTTGTTGAACTTGTTTAATATTAGAATCCATGGGGTTTTCTATGTAGAAAATCATGTCATTTACAAATATGGACAGTTTTATTTTTTCCTTTATGATCTATATGCCTTGGTTTTCATTTGTTACCATATTTTACTGGCAAGAACTTCCAGCTCTGCGTTGAATAAGAGTACTGAGAGTAGATATCATTGCCTAGATAGAAAGCATTCAGTTTTTCACCATTAAGTATAAAGTTAGGTGTTTTTTGTGAATATTTCTTTATCATGTAGCAAGTTCCCCTCTATTTCTACTATTCTGAGAGATTTTGTCATGAATGGA